TCTCCCCCCCCCCCCCCCCCCCGGTTATACACTATACTGCATCATTGGTTCCACAAATGCTTGTTAACATGAACTCGGTGTCGAAGTATAAAAAAATGGATAGGAACCCAGTTCGAAAAGCTCGAGTTCTTAAAATTGAGTATCCTCCTTGGTGCCATCCAAAAACAATTCATTTATATTGTGGCATTCGTTGTGTATTATGATGCTTTAAGATGTCCAGACATGAATGTCACAAAAAAAGAAGATATGAAAGGAAATATGCTAAAAATAATAATACTAAAATCAATCACTTACTACTTACACAAGTATTGAATTGGTAGTCAGCTTCAAATTATGGCTTAAGAATATACTCAAGTTGAACAATTTTTACTATACATTAAAACAGAAGATTTGTTTCACTGATTATTTGATACAACAAATGCAGGGAACAAAGGAAACATGGGTNTACAACAAAATCATTTGACATAAAAATTGAACACATGATTTCTCCCCCCGGGGGGTGGGGAGGGAACAAGTGGGATCCGTTTAGAAATAGGAAAGAGCAGAAAATATAGTTTGTGCCACAGTGAGTAGGAGGAGCACAACAGCAGCCAGAAATGAAATGAGTGCCCATGGGCTGTTGAAATAATTGTGCCTTAAGTTTGCCATCCATTTGTTGCGAGGCCTCTTACAATGCTTATTCACATTGCTGAAAACTTCAGAGTAACAGAATTTGTACGAGAGTATGACATTGTTGTTAAGCTTGTTTAACATATTGCAAACTGTAGTATCATCACCCGAACAGTTCTCAATAATTCTAGAGCAGCGAAGCAATGTGACATCTTTTGGAGAATTGACAAGTAAATCCATAAAATAGGCATAATCGGAGACATATTTTGGTTGACCAGTGGGACAAAACTGTTCATATGCAATTAAGTTTCGTAAGATGGATTCAGTGTTGTCATTAATTTCCAACCAAGGAATTTCCATCAACCCATTAACAAACTTAATGTCAAACAAACTGGTACTTTCCTTTGTTACCTTGAATTCCATTCCAAACTCTTGGAGCTCTGTGACAGTATTTATGAAGTTGTCATATTCATATCTGTCATGGTAAGACTTGATTTTTTCAGCAAATGAAAAGCACATACTGCCATGTACTAGGTGAAGCAGATGCTGGACATGATCGATTGAGATATCTGAAACTTTTGAAATAGTTGGCCCTGGCACCACTCTGCCTAGAAAAGACAATGCCAGAAAAGTGATGTCTTCATCTGTGTTTACCTCCCTCGTCATGTTGAACAACATGACAAGGATAAAAAATGGAAGTTGATTTTCCAGTAACAATAAATCACAAGTTACTTGAGCCCGAATAGACCAAAATTGGAAAAGAAGGTCATATTTAGAACTTGATTGCGCATTACTCTTGCGAAATAATTCTACGACAAATATCCCGTCAAAAAGCATCATTTTCACAAAATCAGCTTTTTTGAGGATACTTGATTCTGTATAACATTTTCTCGCTCTCTCTTCCATGTCAATCAAGGCCATAACGTATTTATCCACACCTGTCTCATTTCTTCGTTGAAGCAACTGTTGCAGATACAATAGTTTGTGTTCTTCCATCTTTTGCAATTTGTCTATACCATGGTAATAAGGACCAATTGCAATTATACTAGGTTCATAGGCTTTCTCATTTTCAGCTCGTAGTTTGTCGTGCACTCTGAAAATGCAACGGTCATATGGTGTAGGAGAAAAGCGAGCAAGCTCATCATTTATACTTAAGGAGATGTGATTAGCAAGCTCTTCATTGGTACTTAAGGAGATGGGATCTGCTCTCTGAGCCATCTTTAGACTCTAGGAAATTACTTTCTCCGGGTGGCCTACATATGTCAAATATTAGTGGAATTGTCATACCTAAACTACATTTAAGGTTGTAAACATGTCTAAAACTAAGGAAGAATACAACTTGAATTTAAATAGACAAAGTGTACCCCACTTGTATACATGGGTTAATTATTGCATTATATGGATAGGTAGTTATTAATGTATGAGATCCATTTGTTCACTTGTTGCATTATATGGATAGGTAGTCATGTATATAAAATGACTTAAAAATTAACTGATATTGGTTGTACTAGAAGATAGGTAGTGTTATGAATCTTAAAGGTATGTTTGGGAGATTTTTTGTAGAAAAGAATTGGACATTACCTTAATAATTTAATTATAACTTTTTATCCCGATGTCCAATTGATCTGATATTTGAACATTTAAAACTAGATTTAAGGGTTACAAAAATTTATATTTCGTGAATTGACTGCTCATGAGGTCAAAATTGTATTTGAGGTATTGGCAAAAATTTGGATTCACGTTTGAACATAAATATTTGTTTGAATGCACCTTAATTAACTACATAAGTTTGGGTCTAACAGATAGGACTGACGGAACTAAAGATATTGAGAGTAGAGCACGTTTGAATGCAAATTATGTTTGAACGAGGCACGTTCGAACGCAAGTACGCATTTAGTAGTGATTAGGTTCTTGATAACAAAATAGTTTTTGACCCTATAAATATTCTAAGGACGTTTTTTAGGTCAATTTTTAGCCGTTTTTAACCCTAAGGAGCAAAGAGAGTGTAAGAGGGGAGAAAAAGAGCAAAATCATGAAGGATTATGCACGAGAAACGCAACACACGGGGTAAGGTTTAATCAAACAATGGATTAAAGTGGGGATTATTTCTCAAACTTATTTATTGAGATTAGTGTTATATAATTATAAGTTTTTCATCTCTATTACAATATAAGTAATAGAACGATAGTGTTTTCTTATTTCTTTGAATTTATGATTCATTTCTTGGACACACAACCCTAGTTCTTGATTTATAATCTTAGCTATTTGATAGAGCTTCAAACATTTTATATTCTTGTTGAATATATGTTTCAATTCCTAAATAAACACATGATTTATATCCAAATACATGTTTTACAACTGAAAATCCTATGATCTTTGATAAAACCCTAGATTTTAAATATTGCGAACATGAAAGTTTCTTGTTATGATTTCTTGTATGTTTTACTTCAATTATTCTTCTACTTTGAGAATTATAAAGCTATGGATTTTGGTGTACGTGATTTTGTGAAAAAAGTATGATTATTATCTCATTGTATGGGTGGGTTGATGAGCATGGATTACACTCAGATGCATATCATAGGGTGTTAGATGGTTTTTTACCTCAAGGGGTTTGATGGTTGCCTAACACTCGTAGGGAGTTTGATTTCTTGCAAGGGCCAACCACTATTATTTACGTAGGTTCGAGACTGAGGGCTAATATATTATTCTTGGAAAAGATTCATCAATGTTGTATGAGTCGGTAGACGCCCTAACTAAAAAGTTGCGAGTGTTGTGACCATACGGGGATTGATTGAAATAATTTGTGATTGTGGTGGGAAAATGAGATAGGTATGGTGCGTAGATTCACGATAGTTTACCTACGTACATGAGATATTATAGTTTTAGATGTGGTTTTGTAAATTATTCTATCATTTTATTGAACTTTACTATTTTATACATCATACTTGAAATCTTTATTAAATGTTATTATTTTACTTCAAATTTTATGTATTTGTTTTACAGATGGAGACTTATTTGTTTTATCGTTTTGGAAATCTTGTTTGAATTTGAGAGAATTTTTTTTACTGAGTTTATTGCTCATCCTACGTATATATATTTAAGATTTTGGATTTGAGGAAGATATCATATTAGACAAGCAAGTTGATTTTGTGGCTGAGATGAGTTAGTAAATTGCTGATGCAAAAAAACTCTTTTCTTGTAGTAATTGGAGGCTTGAAGATGCTTCTTTTTAGTTTAATTTTTCTAAAATTGAGAGATTTGACAATGTTATGAATATTTTTTATTTAGTTAGTTGTAAATTATTATTTTGATTTTGGATATAAATTTAAGAATATATTTGTGTCTTAGTTGGGATTTATCTAGTTAACTGGTGAATGATGAATGATGCTATTATTTTATGGTTGTTTAATAGTAAATGTCTCACAGTGTGAATTTTGGGTTGTTATAGAATAGTTACACCATGTTAGCGTGGTAACATGGCGTTACAAGGGGCGGATTTATGTGTGGGCCAAGGGGCATTGACCCTCAATTTTTTTTCTTATTTTTTTATATGTTATTTAATTATTTGCTTTGATATTTCTTGTTGTGCCCACCCTTGAATTGGCCTTAGTTTTTATATTTGTAAGTTCTTTTGGTTCTAAATTTGTATTCTTAAGGTAAAATTGTTTGTAATTGACCTGCAACTAATCTCTTTTTGTGTAAGATTGGATTCTAGTGGTATTATAACCTTACTTTTTAAGTTTTTATTTGATAACTTTGAAATTTTGATATAAAATTATAAAAAGATGTCACGGTCCATTATATATAAGATGTAATAAGCCTTTCATTTTGGTAAGAGTTGCACTTAATTTCTTTTTCTAGTTTTTTCTTCATATAAGACATAAATATCATCTTTTCCCTTGTCAACTTAACAATCTTTTAATTATGAGATATTATGTATCGTCTTATCTTTATTTTATATATGTCTATATACATTTAACTCAAGTGTAATCGGTGGTAGACTTCAATATGACTATTTGGTAAATAGTAGTATTGTTTGGTAATTATTTTTTTCGTTTGCATTAAAATATTTTTTGACACTAGGTTTTTGTAAGTTTTTTTTTGTGGGTGGTTTAAGTTTTAATGGAGTTTAGATTTGTGATCTACACTATTTTATTATCATATATAAAATATAGGATCATCTTTGAAAAACTTAAAGTCGTTAATCTCTTTATGCCATCCACTTTGTCATCTTTGTCCACTTGGTTGCTTATCAAGTGGTAGGCTAGAGAAAGGCTTAGACTGAACCACTAGCACAAGTCTTTGCACTACCTTGGTAGGAATAACTGAAAAAGTTGTGTAAAGTATATTAGTTTGAATAGTTGAGTTTCAAATTAGAAAGGGTAAGATTAAGATGATTGATATATGTGTGTAGATGCAATAATGCTATTATTTGTTTCAATCAACAAAATTCTTTTAAAAAAAAAATTCCTAAGATCACATTATGCCCAAATTCACGATTTTATAACTCTAAGAAATAATAAATTTACATAGTAAAATAAAGTTAAATATGACTTGTTTAAGGTCCCATATGATTGTCCTGATGGGGGCCCAATAGAGAACCCATCATTGTGGGCATGTTGGGAGGAGAGACCTTATATTCCACAAACTCTCCTTCATCCACTAGTGTCACAAGTTTTTTACTTAGGCATGAACCTGAAATCATGAAAATACCTTGCTAATTGTAGGTTTGTAAGAACTGGTCAAAGCTACTTTCATGGAAGGCATAAAATGGACCAGTAATATCATCATGAAATCTATTTGAATTTTTTACTTGTCAATTTTTCTTGTTTCTTTTCTTTTTTGAAATTGTTAATCTTTTCACAGAGAAGAAGCACCATTGCATAATTTAAAAAATTATGGCAAAGATCATTAATTGCAATTTGAAAAATTACAAACTACTTGAGCAACAACAACAAATATTGCTACGAATTGATTTGTAGAGCTAAATAACAGATACAACAAATAGGGAAAAAACGTTGTGATACTTGTATTTATAGAAAATTCATAGGATTGGGTTTTGAAAAACTTACTTGATATACTTTTCAGTCCCCTGTGAAGATATAATGTGAAGATGAGTCAAAAAAGAAGAAGAAGCTGATGTTGAAGAACAAGAAGAAGAAGAAGAAGAAGAAGCAACTTATGACAGCAAATAGCTAGAAAGAAGACTCCTTATTTATAGGCAGACATGCAACATTTTAGTTAAAGTTAAAGAGAGATTATTAATGTCATCAACTTGTCTTAATTTATCTATCACTAGGGATATAGGCCGTGTCTGAAGACACGGTACAACGTAAATCAACCGGTTCATTTCGAGAAGTAAGGAATGAAGATTCCAGAGAGAGAAAGAGTGAAGAGTGATGAGAAGATGGTAAAATTCAATGTGAATAGTTTTGACAAAGATATTAATGACCATTGAATGAGTTTATTTGAGATCATCGAACGAACTTATTGAAATCTTTCATATTTTATATTATAGATTTAAGTTATATAATATGAAATTCTTGAATGGAAACAAAAACATGGAGACAAAGAAATTTCCAAGCAAGAGCACATGAGATCCATAATTTCATGCTTTCACACTGCAGCGGAGTAGCAATCTGGTGAAGGTATCTTCTACCCTTTTTTTATTACTTGAATAAATTACACTTTGATCTCAACTTTACCTAACTCTGATCTCACTTGATCTTTCAACTATTGAATCTCTCATATTGCCCCTTGTTGCTTGAATTGATTTTACATAAGCCATATGCAAAAATCTGTCATGTTTTTAGATGGATAACATCATGTATTTGTACATAGTTAAAAACAATAACTTAACTCGAGAGGACAAATTCAGACATCTTTTCCTCAAATTAATTTACAATGAAATATAAAACTAATAATCAGAATTGAAGGTGACAGTCGAGAAACATAGTAACTGAGGGGGCAATAGGATATAGAGGCTATAGTTCATAGAATCAAAGTGTACTTTTTCTCTATTACTCGTAATGTCGTGGAAGAGAGATCTAGTCAATATCTTCTCGGTTATTTTTTATCTATGTCATTGAAAACGTGAGAGTTTTTTAAACTCGAGAGGACTTTCCTTGACTTTGCCTTGTAGATGCTTTTTCTTGTGCAAAATATATGCTAGTTTGGCACCAAATTCTTGGTTGGTAAGTTCACAAAACTACAGATCT